TGAAGTCCACAAGTCTTAAAGTTGCCAAGGTTGGACACCCCTGATCTAAACTAAATTTCATTGTCATTGTAAAGGACACAGCTTTTAGATTATTAAATGCCTCCTTAAAGCTTTCCTCAAAAATATTGTATAAAATATGAAAAAGAAATAATGAGAGGGAGAGGGAGGGAGGGTGAGGGGGAGAGAGAGAGAGAGAGAGAGACATGGTAATTTAAAAGCAGTATATAAATAGGCTGGTCTTCTTCAGAAAAACACATCATCAGTTGACCACTGATATTTATTTCTTCTTTCCAAGATGATCTGATTTGCACAGTATTCTCGAGATGACTTCCACAAACACAAGCAACAAAAATAGGTAAGATTTTTAATTTAAGACTACTTGCTTCTTCCTTCTTTCTCCCCATGTGTTTTTAAACTTTCTTTTTTTAAAAAGCCCCATACTCATTCTTGTGCCTCTTTTGGATACCGTCTTTTTCTGAAAAAAAAAAAATGGAAGAACAAAACATTACAAGTTGATGTTAACATGGGAACTTGGAATTCTTTACAGTTTGGTGGCGAATTGTCAGAGGAAATTGATAGTAACTTCTTGAAGATCTGTGTATGTTTGCGTGCCTGCTTTCTTCCTGTAGCTGTTGGAGACAGGTTGTTGATCTTATGAAGATTTATGATTTGCTGGATACCCTTGAAGCAAACTTGATGTTATTGTTGTAAGCTGGGTGGGTTTGAGATTACTGTACAACTTTTAGAATTCGTTGAATTGAATAGTTTATTTGGCCAACTGTGATTAGACACACAAGGAATTTTTCTCAGCTGCAGAAGCTCTCATTGTACATGCAAAGCAACAGAATAATGATGATTATAATGATAATACCAATAAGAGAGGGGCATAAAGATAGCAATAGCACTTAAGACTTATATACTGCTTTACAGTACTTTGCAGCCCTCTCTAAGCGGTTTACAGAGTCAGCGTCTTGCCCCCGAAAATCTGGGTCCTCATTTTACCCACCTCAGAAGGATGGAAGGCTGAGTCAACCTTGAGCCTGGTGAGATTTGAACTGCCAAATTGCAGGCAGCCGGCAGGCAGCAGAAGTAGCCTGCAGTACTGCACTCTAACCACTGCGCCACCGTCAAACGAGAAAGATAAATAACATTACAGCCGTACTACATGGGTAAATACACATAGACATTAGACAGTAAGAATCAGGTGTTCGGCAGAGTGATGGCATGAGGGATAAAATTGTCCCTGTGTCTAGATGTTTTGGCATGCAGTGCCCTATAGGACTGTCCTGTGGGGAGGAGTTGAAATAGTTTTTGTCCCGGATGTGAGGGGTCTGCAGATATTTTTTCAGCTATCTCAAATGGCTTCTTGGTGTAGTCATACAAGACTGCATGATATCTTTCATTAAGACCCATTAGATTAGTGAGAGTGTATATAACGCAAAAATTCCATGAGATGTGACAGGTGTTTTCCAGTCTTGCCTTGTGTTTGGCTGGCCAGGTAAAAGCAAAACCATTGGTAAAGTGGTCCCTAAGCCTAACACCAAATGTATTACTTCTAATTAAGTCAGACTAAAAAGACACCTGGAAGTGGAACTCAGCTTTGAGTACTTTCAAGATAGGTCAATGCAGTCTTCTTGGCAGCAGTATAGAAGTGGTCAGTTGTTGCTATCTTCCAGAATTTATTTATTTTTACTTTCTAGATGGCTGACCCTGCTTAGCCTTCTAGATCCACCATGTTAGTTCATTTAAATAATAGCAGTGATGAAATTCAGGACATGGGATTCCATACCGTACAAGGCATATCCGAAAAGAGGAGAAGGTCAAAAAAACATGAGACAGACCCAGAAGAAGAAGGAGAAACAGACTACAACAATATCAATTAACAATGGTTGAGATTGCCAGAAGAGGAAGAGCAAGGAGGAGGAGGAGGAGTTCTGATTCAATAGATTGCAAGAAATATGTATCTTGCCAGATGTTGCTAATTACAATTCTGAGCAATTGAGAGCTAGTATGGCCAAGGATATGGGATGTTCAGAGTTGAACCTAACAGTGTTTTTTCAGGAGGCAACTGGACTTTCTTTCTTTTTTTTCTTTTGAAGACCTTTTGCTTCTCATCCAAGAAGCTCCTTCAACTCTGACAGGACAGTGGGGAATGGAAGGATTTATATTCCTTTCAGACAGCTGGTCATTTACCTCCTTTTAGAAGATTGTTGAAGCACTTGGAGGTTTATCTGTATCTTCAGGGTCACCTGAGTTTTTAGTGCTCCTGTTTCCTGTAGAAGCTTCTTGGAGGAGAAGTGAAATGTCTTCAAAAGAAAAAAAACCAAGAAAATCCAGTTACCTTTGGGACAACCATGACCTGGATGACTGAGAACCTCTACAGACGTTCAGAGTTGAAGTTCAGGGGGAAAAAACCAATTCCATATTTAAGCTAATAAGTACCCTGATTTATTGCTAGCCACATTTTGTTGACTTTGACTTGGTAGAAGCTAAGCAAGCCTCTGATACTGTTTGGTTGAGAACTTGAGAGACTACCAGAAATTGTCAGATTATGGACTACATTGGTCTAGTCTACAACCAGACATGAGCAGTGGGATTGCAGCTCAATATTGTCAAAGGGAACAACACAAATGCATGCTGTATATGCAATCACTGGAAGGCGTCTTTACTTTTTATTAAATCAGCGGCTATTTTCAAAGAGATGAGCTAACAGGTAATTATTCCCATCTTGGATTTTTTTTTTTTTAAAGAACGTATGAGTAGATGTGGGGTTGACTTCACTGTTTTGAAAGAACTTTATTACTTCCTGTGTATCAGTTGCCCAATCTCAGTGACTTCAACTCAACGGAGTTCCCCAACCAGCTTTGCGGGGTGGGAGGGATGGAGGAGGGATTCAGGGCTGGGGAATTCCAGGAGTCAACGTCCTCTTAAACTCGCTGAGAAAGAGAAATATGGTGGGGGTTTGCACAATTTTGAATTGATTGATAATTATTTTATGCTCGTTAAAAATTGAACCCTGCCTTTTGATTAAAAAGGTGCTTGAGGGGGCTAATTTGGGCTGTGCAACCTTGATGGTCCTAGATCATAAGAGTACATATTCAAATTTTAAAACTTTAATACATAAAAAGCCTTATTCTCTGGAGTACACTTCTGCCTGGACATGCATCTTTCTTAACCTGCATCTGATATCACACAAAGACAAATCTGACAGTTAACAGGGAATCTGAAGAACAAATTGTTTTCTGCCTGTGGATTCTTGTATGGATTCAACTGGCATATAAATCAAGTTATTTTAACACTGTCTGCAGCTTTCTCTCTCACTGTCAGGAACACATAAGCTTCTGCATATGTTACATTCGGTTGCTTGCAAAAGGAGATGCTGCTTGTAGAACAAGGAAAATGAAACTATTAAGCTTTCCAGAATGATGGTAGCACAATGTTGAAGCGCCATAGATCAAGAAGACAGCTATTTCTACAGCAGTGGAGATGAGGAAGAGCAGTTTACAAAAATGTTGAGATTCCTGCTTGTAGCCTCTTGCTGAAATTCTGTGTTCAGCCACTCCGGCACACTAAACACCCTGCTCCTAACTGCCTATCACAGCTACCTCTGCATACATATTGGCCTTTTTTGAAGCAATTCTTTTGGAAATATGACTAAAAGACAGAAAGTACAGGGACGCGGTGGCTCAGTGCCTAAGAGCTTGTCGATCAGAAAGGTCGGCAGTTTGGTGGCTCGAATCCCTAGCGCCATGCAACGAAGTGAGCTCCCGATACTTGTCCCAGCTTCTGCCAACCTAGCAGTTCGAAAGCACATAAAAATGCAAGAAGAAAAATAGGGTCCACTTTGTTGGGAAGGTAACAGCGTTCTGTGCGCCTTTGGTGTTTAGTCATGCTGGCCACATGACCACGGAGACGTCTTCGGACAGCGCTGGCTCTTTAGTTTTGAAATGGAGATGAGCACCGCCCCCTAGAGTTGGGAACGACTAGCACATATGTGCAAGGGGAACCTTTAACCTTACAGATAGCTCTCCACTTACAATCATTTGTTTAGTGGCGGTTCGAAGTCAGAACAGCACTAAAAAAAGTGACCTATCGTTTTTCACGCTTATGACTGTCGCAGCATCCCCATTGTCATGTGATCAGAATTGGCAACTGGTATGTATTTATGACGGTTGCAGTGTCCCAGGTTCATGTGAACCCTTTTGCAATCACCTTGACAAGCAAAATCATTGGGGAAGCCAGAATCTCTTAACAACTTGTTACTAACCACTAACAACTGCAGTGATTGACTTAACAAGTCTGGTATGAAAGGTTGTCAAATGAGACCAAACTCACGTAACAACTGTCTTACTTAGCCACAAAAATGTTGGGCTCAATTGTGATCATAAGTCAATTTCTGTATATAATTATGGTACTCATTAGTGCCATAAAAACTGTGTCCAGGGAAGAGACCTTGGGTCTCATGGAGTAAATGTAACCAAGAGTCCTAGAACATTTACACACTGCTTGTCATGAAAGCATTGGTAGAAATAGAATGTGATTCTCAAAAATCGATGTGGTATAAAGATGCTGCAAGACTTCTGGATGTCAGAAAGATTTGAAATAGTTGTACTAAAATGTAGAACAGATAGGATAAAGAGCAGATTAACTTTAGGCTTTAGATTACATCATATAGAACAGGGGTGTCAAACTCGCAGCCCGTGAGCCGGATGCATCATGTGCTGACCCTGCCCCTGCCCAGTTTAGCGAAGGGGGGAAAAAAATCCCGATACGTCACGTGATGCTGCTGTGACAACATGAGTTTGACACCTCTAATATAGAATATAAGCCATGGTGGCTCAGTGGTTAGAGTGCAGTTCTGCAGGCTACTTCTGCTGCCTGCCGGCTGCCTGCAATTTGGCAGTTCAAATCTCACCAGGCTCAAGGTTGACTCAGCCTTCCATCCTTCTGAAGTGGGTAAAATGAGGACCCAGATTGTTGGGGGCAAGAGGCTGACTCTGTAAAAACACTGTGGAGTAGAATATAAGTTTAAGTGCTATTGCTATATTTTAGACTAGTTTCTTTTTTAAATTGGATGATATCCTGCCTTTAAGCACCACACATTTTAGAAAGGTATTCAGTGTTCTCATCACAACTCCCAGCAGATGGTATGATAGTGATTGATCTCAAAGTGATCTTATGGCTGACTTTGGACAAAGTGTACACTGTAATATTTATGGATGATAAATAGCATAATCTTTTATCAGTGAAGCTGTCCATTTACAGGGTTCACGATGATAGCAAATTTTCAAAGGGTTCTACAAGTGATGGATGAAAGCGTATAGGATAACTCTTGACTCCTGAATACAAAAGAAT